CCCCGCCCCCACTGCAGCCCCCGGAGAGGTAAACTTTCTCACCTGGGCGCCCCCCGATCCGTGCGTGCACCTGGCCGCTCTGCGCCCGCGCGGGCCTGGCAGCGGGCACCCGGGAGGGCGCCGCGGGAGGCTGAGGAGAGAGCGGCCCAGGCGGCGCGGCCCCGGGCGTGCGTGTCGCCGCCAGGTTCTTTCTCTCCGGAGCCAGAGCCGCTGGGCGACCCGGGCCGTGGGGTGGGACGGGCCAGAAGTTTGGTAGTCAAGGTCTTGAAACTCGCTGTAAGGCTGGCAGTTGAGGTGGCTTCCCCCTGGTGAATAGCTCTTTCATATCCAGGTGCTTTAACTGGGTTATGGGAAAAGCTGTTTTTGACTCCTTGAAAGTGCCAGAAAGGCAACTAGGTCTCCTCCCCCTTTCTGCCTCTCTCCCAGGTAGAAAGAGAATCATAGGTTCTTCAGCAGTTTTGCCCAGTCACGTCACCCTCCCAAAGAGTTGAACATGTTAAAACATAACTCAGCTCTTCATTTTACTGAATTATTCATTCAAAAAAACCTAGGGGTTTGAATAGCCAGTTTCACTTATTTGTTTTTGCTTGGGGTCAGTTTCACTTTCTCTTCTATGTCATTGAACCAAGTCTCCAGTACTTGGCTTGTAAAGGGGCAAGGCTGGTTGTTTCCTGGACCAAGTGGAATGAAAATCATGGTTGGGTCGTTCTGGAGTGAGTGTGTTTCTCTGAAGATGGAAATACTACAAGAGCGTGGGTTACATCGTTTACAGGGAAACTAGAGTAACAGTTTCTTTTTGCTTGTGTTGATGTTAGTATCTCAATGTATATGAAGTGCCACATGGTTTTACATAGTTTTATCTATATACCGCTCCCGTTTTTCCTTACGAAAAAGAGTGTAGTTCATTCCAGTACTGAGGTTATTGCCAAGGTGAAGTACAAGGCGCTGGGCATTTTCAATCTTTTCAATAAGCTGTTGTGCATCAGGCAGAGGAGATATTTGCCAACTGGATTTGTCTCATTTCTGCACACATGTAGTTTGTGATTTATGCTTACATTTTTTAAAACATGCTTTTGTAAGCCATCAGATGTTGAGATTTTTTAAAAGTTTTCTTTGAAGTCGTTGCTTAAAAGACTCGATATTGATGACAGTAATGTTTAAAGCTGTACTGAGCAAAGGTTATCATAGAATTCCTATGTGCCATACAACATTATGTGGCTGCTAAAAAGGTTATTTCTGTGACAAATGGAGTTTAGCGTGATACCTGAGGGTTTTAGGTTAAGAATTCTTTGACTGAATACACAAAATGAAGAATGTGTGGGCTTGGTTGGTCTTCCCAAAACTATAATGCTATATATATTTATAGATAGTTGAATTTGATGCTTTCCTATATATATGTATATATACACATTTATTTGTTTGTATGTACACATTTAAGAGCCCCTCCCCAACAACAACAAACAGTCATTGGAACAAGTACAGTAAAACGATTTTATGCAGTCATTTGTTCATAGTTCTCCTATAGGGATGTTAATCCTGGGGAAATTAAGTTGTTCTGCTGCTCTTTAACTTGACTGTGAATAAGGCTTGTTTAGCCTTCTTAAAATTACTCTGTTTTTGTTTTCATCTTTTTAAAATGTTTTGTTTTCATCTTCTTTCTTTTCCTTTTCCTTCATTTCCTCTCCTTTTATTTTCTGTTTCCCTCCCCCGCCCCCCAATTTTCTTTGACTTGAAATGGGAAAATGCAGACTTCTCCCAGACAATGATTCACGCCTTTGCCCTACTTGAGGCTCCGGTACCTGAGGTTGACTTGAAATTTTCACTCAGTTTCCCTCTGATTGATTACAGTTTTAATCAATATCCACTGTTTTCTTTCCATGTAGGGTTCCAAAATTGGTTTTTCAAGGTTGTGTTCTCTCTCTTTTGCATGATAATCTTAATTTTAAAAGGACAGACCAAAAAAAATACAGACAACAATATCGAATCATTTTAAATACACACATGCACCATATTCACACACCTGTGAACAGCCAGTGCCCCTTATTGGTGGTTCATTGGGATGGAAAGTACATGGGTACTTTATGAAGATATTAAAAAAAAACACCAACCTTTTAAAGGCTATTATTTCTCCTTTGGATTTTTATAAGCATTGAATGAGATTCTGTGCATTGATTTATATAATCATTCAGCACAAGTTAGTGCTGAAAGCAAATGTTATGCCCCACCTCCAAAAGGTGCTCATTCATTTGCGGCCCGGCTGAGAGCCGCCTGCTGGCCAGGTCAGGGGAGGGAAATCAGAACAGGAAGGACAGTCAGCTGGCCCAGGGCTGGGCAAGGTACTGGAGAGCTAGCTACTGTGGAAACCAGCGATTATTGGGGAGGGGTTTCAAACCCAGTTTTTAGGGGATGTTGGGTGGGGTGGAGTGCTCATTTGCCAAGGAGCTCACTTGCTCACTTCCTGGTGGAAATGCATGCTGGGGAGAAGTGGGAGAGAACAGCCCGAGAGTGAAAGTGGCTCCACGTGGTGGGAACCCCATGGGGCTGTGCGAGGTGGTTACTAGGTCCGCAGTTGTTGCCAAGGCAAGGGAGGGTTCGGTGGCGGGGGCACTCCTGAAAAGTCAGGGGAGGCGGATCTGGAGTTGGCTGCCGGGTTGAGGTGTGCATGTTCTGCTTTTCAGTACTAGCTGCCATTGGACAGCTTCGGGAACATTCCTAACAGCAGTCTGTTAACTAGGTGGTGTAACTCTAAGGGAAGCTGTGCGGGAAAGTTGAAGCTGGTGGCTTACCCCAGCTGCTGACAAGTCTCGGCCACTGTTGCTTCATTTTATAGGCCCCGTGAATGTGAATGCGATCGTGTGGGTTCTTTCTGATCTTTCCTAGGTTCGCTGTGCAAATTAAGCAAGTTCAAGAATATACAGCGATGAACACAGTACCCAGCACATAAGAAATACTCACTGAGTGGTCCGCCCTAAGATTTAAAAATGGGATCCAACAGAGAAAATGATTGTCTTTAAAAACATGTATTTGTGCTCAAGTGTGGTGTCAGTAACATCATATGGACATTGTTTACAACGTTATACATACCTGTATTAAAGAATCTCTGCCCCCAAAATGCATTTGCTTAAAAAGCAAGCCTTCCAGAAATGGGATATTTAAAATGTACTGCCCATGACACAATGTCATTTTGGACTTCAAAGTTAAGCTCGATTTTTCTCTTTGTGTACTTGAGATGTTTTCCTGAGGAATCATATTCAGATAGGAAGTTTAAGCAAATGTACTTGTGTGAGTAATGTTCTAGTTCAAGCACTGGAGAACAGAACGGAACAAAACCAAGCATGACTAGTAAATATATAGAACAGGAAATTGATTATATTTTGAAAGATCAGACTTTCAGGGACCATGGACTAGAGAGGGGCTTCTTATCAAGTACTTCTTTGGAAGTTTTAATATAAAAGTTGTCTGCATGTTCAGTTTAGCATGATGTTAAATGTCCCTAAGAAACCATGGCCAAATTGCTCGAAAAGATTTTTGTTATTATATTTGGATGGTGCCTGTGAAAATAATTAGATATGGGTCAGTGAATTTCCCAAGACCCCGTGGTAAAAGCAACAACTTGCTTTTCTTTCTTTCTTTCTTTTTAAAAAATCATTTTATTGGGGGCTCGTACAGCTCTTATCACAATCTATACATCTATCCATTGTGTCAAGCACATTTGTACATTTGTTGTCATCATCATTCTCAAAACATTTTCTTTCTACTTGAGCCCTTGGTATCAGCTCCTAATTCCCCCCCCCCTTCACCCTTGATAATTTATAAATTATTATTTTGTCATGCCTTACACTGACCGATGTCTCCCTTCACCCACTTTTCTGTTGTCCACCACCCTGGGAGGGGGTTATATGTCGATCACTGTGATTGGCTCCCCCTTCCTACGCCACCTTCCCCTTAGCACTTGCTTTTCTTAAGAACTACTGTCTGCTTTTCTTCTTTTGCAGAGTTGAACAATGACCATAGTTGACAAAGCTTCTGAATCTTCAGACCCTCCGACCTATCAGAGCCAGCCCGGCAGCTCTGAAGCGGCCTCACCTGGAGACATGGATGCAGGCTCCGCCAGCTGGGCTGCTGTGTCTTCGTTAAACGATGTCTCGAACCACACACGTTCTTTAGGACCAGTACCTGGTGCTGCAGTTTATTCGAATTCATCCGTACCTGATAAAGCAAAACCATCGCCACAAAAGGACCAAGGTACTGTTGTTAGACAGAGAATCCTTGTGAGAAACACCTGTGTAAGTGCAGTTGCCAATCCTTGTGAGAAACACCTGTGTAAGTGCAGTTGCCGGGCTGGTTGTTACAGAGAGGGGCTAACTTGGCAAAAGACCGTGCCAGCTGAGCGGCCAGCAGAGCTGCATCATCTGAGAGCCTTGGTTTGCTTCAGCTGCTGGTAACTACAGTTGTGTTGCGATTAGTTTGTAGCAGACAGGTAAGATGATTCTCCATTGCAACGATGATGTTTGCTGTTGGGTTCTTATTCCTAAGTTTTTGAAAGATACATTTTATATTGGTAAGAATTAAGATGGGCAAGAATTGTGTTAATAACATGTCAGTCGCTTAGTGTTTAGTATAGTTCCCTATTTGGACAAATGACTCTACCCAACTTTTTTTTTTTTGTTTTGGCCAGGTAACACCATCTGTAATAGTTTTTCTCTTTGAAAGTTAGCAGCCAATATATTAGGTTTATTAAGGCAACACTCACTTGTGCAAGAAGATAGGGTCCAGTGGCCATACCACTATGTGAAGTCAGCGTATATGAAAGTCAGGGGCTGTAGCCTGCCGTCCTCCTATGACTGGTGCATCTCAGGGCGGTGTGCGTGTGACAGTAGGCAGTGGGCATCTCTTCCCCACCCTCCCTTCCCTACCACATCCCCATCTTCGTGAGCCTAGGATGGTGGTCAGCTGCTGTCTTCTGTAAGCTGCCGCCCACTGCTTGCCCTGGATAGGAGCCCCACATGTCTTCTGTCCACCCTGCAGCCCTCCAAGTCTCCCTTCTGTTCTCGTCCTTTCATTTCCCTTCCCTTCCCTTCCCTCACCCTCCCCACCTCCCGGGCACCTTCGAACTCTTTCTTGCCTGGCCTCCCTCTGCCCACTGTCACCCCCACACCATGCCCTCCTGGTGGACCAAACTGAGATGGCACAAATGGAGCAATAAGTCTTCTGTGTTGGTTGACTACCACCCGTCATGTGGCCAGTGTTATCCGTCAGGGTCTCTGATGTATTATTCACTGTGGCCCACGTGGGGCCCAGAACATCAAAGATGCCCCTTGAGAATTTTTCCAACATTGTTGTGAACTTGACATGTTGGGTAACAAGATCGTTGATATGTGAGGAGTATGTGTAAATGCTGTTATATTTGTTAAAACAATAGAAGGGCTCCGAAAAGAGCTTGTAAAAATGGAATGAAAAGGCCAAGGGATTTTCTGATGAACGCTTGGGAGCCTCTGTGTTTAAATGGTCTAAACACGGAAAGTTCTAGATACTCACTCAGATCAGGAACACTTGGACACTTTCAGGTGGACCTTAGGGGTTTGGGGAGTGGGAAATGACAAGTAATCGAATTAGCTCCTACTAGGCATATTATTTGGCCGAGGCTTGGTGGAGAAGTCCAACCCTGTCTGGTTTGAGGCCTCTCAGTATGTGTGATGGGACGAGGTGGACGGACGAGCTGACGTCCTGAAAGGACTGAACTGAACGTTGCCTGAAGCCTTCAGCTCATCTGGCTCCTCTGCCACTCGCAGTCTCCACAGGATACCTTTCTCTGCAGACTCCAGTCTCCCGGAGAGATGCTCAGTCTTTTTGCTCTCACCCATAGGACTTGTTCACGTCTCTCTGCATCGCCCTGTTCTGGACTCAGTGTCCCAGATCCATTTCTCACCACGCCCACTCAGCCAAAGTTCACCTGGGCACCCTTTCATGCTCACCAGGACCCCCGTTCAATCAGGATCCAGCCACTGAGGGACTCACTCACTGTTCAGCACCAAGGAACCAGCAAGCCTTTGGAAACAGCTTCGCTGTGAATGAGTCTGAACTTTCTTAAATACGTTGTTCCTGGAGCTGCGCTTGAGTTCCAGTGGCATCATCATCATTAAATTAGGAAGCAGTAATTCTTAAAACAGATGAAACCTTTTGAAAGCCTAAGTATAGCAAATAGCGAGTATGGCCCAGTGGTATTCTGAGTTCAAAGCCAGTTTCCTCATTAATAACCTGGGTTGACACTACATTAGTCCTTAAAATAGAGACTTGCTGGTTGGTAAGGACTTAGTGAGAGACGTGGATGAGGATGGCTGTGATGGCAGGGGGCCAAATGTAAGCATCCATAGCACATGCGACATGATTAACGGCTGCTGTGCGTCTTAACGGAGCCCTGGTGGCATAGTGGGTTACCCGTTGAGCTGCTAGCTGCCAAGTCAGCAGTTCTAACCCACCAGCCGCTCCACTGCAAAAAAATAAGGCTGTCTATTCCTATAAAGAGTTACAGTTTCAGAAACCCCCAGAGGCCGATCTACACTATCCCGTAGTGTCGCTTTGAGCCCTAGAGGATCACTGTACGTCAGAATCAACTCCATGGCAGTGAGTTCTGTTTTTGGTATTTCCTAATGATTTTGTGCATGGTGCTTAAACAAACAAACAAACAAACAAAAAACAAACCACTTTTTACAATGGAGAATCGTAAAAACTATAAAAGGAAGACCCCAAACCAAATCCATGCCATTGAGTCAATTCTGACTCTGAGCAGCCCTGTAGGCTAGAGTAGAAAGAATTTAGGGTTTCTAAGAGTTCTCACGTACCCATCAGCCAGCTCTGGCATTTATCATCTCATGGCTTGTCTGGGTCTTCTGTACTTCCAGCCAGTTATGCCCCACCCCACACCCCTAGTTATTTCCCAGGACTTCATGTTTTATAGTATCATTATCTAAAAGAAGAAGGGCTTTTTAAAAAGTATCTTTCTATAAACAACCCAGTCAATGTTCAGGTTTCCCTGGCTGCTTGGACTTTTGTGGCTGGCTGGTTCCCATCAAGATCCACTCCACACTTTGTGTTTAGTGGACATGTGCCTTAAATTGCTCTATGTTCTTGTTACAATTGAATTATTGAAGAAAGCAAATCACATAGTATTGTTTCTCATTCTCTCTTTTCAGCAGTCCTCTCTCTTACCAGGAGCTTCAGACCAAGGCTCAGAAGCAGCCATGCTCGGATCATCCCATTTTCCCACCAACTTCCTTAAGCTCTCTTGTGCTTCAGTAAACCAGTGGTCAGCGGAGAGCCTCACTCCGATCCCGAGTTGATGTGTTGCTGCTGCTGCAGCGCCTGGAGCCTGCCCAGCTTTGTGCTGAAATGTCGCTGTGTGTGTTCTAGTCCTAGGTGACGGCATTGCTCCTCCACAGAAAGTTCTCTTCCCGTCTGACAAGATTTGTCTCAAGTGGCAACAGACCCATAGAGTTGGAGCCGGCCTCCAGAACTTGGGCAACACCTGTTTTGCCAACGCAGCATTGCAGTGCCTAACCTACACGCCACCTCTCGCCAATTACATGCTGTCACACGAACACTCCAAGACATGTAAGTGCTACTGTTCCTGTATGTTGTTAGTATTGGGCTTCACTAACCCAACTCCTCGAAACGAGAGGGAAGAACCCGGCTGAGAAGCCCATGATCCCTGGGAAGGGGGCTTGTATTGGAAGCCAAGGAGGAACTCTGAGGGGCTGTGTCCTAGAAGCAGAAAAAGCACATGGTACCCCATCCGAGCTGTGATGTCACTTACAAAGAAACATAGTTGGTGATCACTTGGGATTTCTGAATCCCCTGCTGGTTTCTACACGTGCTAAAAACAAGTGATACTGATTTCTGATGCCAACCCTTTGGGATGGATGGGCCGGGTTAAGAAATCCCAACTCTGCAACATTGATCCCATACATCAAGCTGCCTTTGTGGATAGACTACTAAGCCCCAAGGGTGGGGAGAAGCCCTCTCACTGCTGCCTCCAGTGCCAGCCACCGTGGAACCTGGGTGGGATTTGAGAATTCTCCCTGTCCCATGAGAGGCAGGACACCAGTGGGAACAAGTCGGAGTGTCTCTACCTGGGCAGAAGGCAGCTTGGTGGTTGACTAAAAGAGTTCAGAGTTTAGGACAGAGCCATTTTTTGAGGTTTTGATCTTCCCTGTATGCTATAAATATTTTTGCCCCTTCTTAATAAAATCTTCCTATTCCTCTATCATGGTGTGTGTGTGTGTGTGTGTGTGTCAGACAGACAGAGAGACAGACAGAGAGAGAGACAGACAGACAGAGAGAGAGACAGAATGGAATTAAGCAATTCTCAAGGCAGGGAAAAAGCCCCCCCTGGTTTTCTCTGGAAGTTTTTTTTTTTTTTTGGAAAAGTTCTTAATGATAAATGTAAGGTGATTTTTTTTTTTTTAACATTTTATTAGGGGCTCATACAACTGTTATCCCAATCCATACACACATCAATTGTGTAAAGCGCATTTGTACATCGTTTCTCAAAACATTTTCTCTCCATTTAAACCCCCGACATTAGGTCCTCATTTTTCCCCTCCCTCCCCACTCCCCCCTGTAAGGTGATTTTTGAAAAGTGATTTTGTTTTTATTTTGTTTTCCTTCCAAGAGCAAAGTCATGTTTTTAAAGAATTCGGAAAGGGCTGCAAAATGGAGGGAAACTAGGAAAATCACCTAGACACTCATTTCTGAGAGGCGTGTGTTAAGCTCAGCGTTTGAAGTTGCTGAGCGAACATTGTGTTTGCCCTCATTTTCTCTGGTTCTAAGTCCGTAATTCCTTCCTCAAAGGCAGCTTTCCTCTCACTTTGCACTTAGTGAAAGTAAGGTGTAGATACAAACCCAGCCCTGGCACCTGGACAGCAAACGAGGATCAAGACAAAAGTTAGGCGTTGCCAGGGGGCCCGAGTTTTGTGCCAACTTTCTTATTATCAGCAGTTTTTCTTTCTTTCCCCAGTTTCATGGAGGTACAATTGAGATCTAGCAAGAAATTGCACTCATTTAATATACAGTTTGATACATTTAAAGTACACACTTAAATATATCCATGAAACTCTCTCACCATGATGAGTAAGATCATCCATCATCCCACAAGGTTTCCTCCTGCCCCTTTGAAATTGGCTCCCTCCTCTCCTTACCCTAGGCAACCACGGATTACTTCCTGTCACTAGAAATGGGTGTGCATTTTCTAGAATGTTAGGAAACAGAATAGCACAGAATATATTCTTTTCTGGCATCTGCACTCAGTTGCTTTGACATCATTCCATGTGGTTTTGTGTTTCATCAGTTCATTCCTTTTTTTCTCTTTCTGCTGCGGATCTTCCACTGTATGGATATACCACAGAACATTTCTCCATTCACTGGTGGAGGAACATTTGAGATTGGCTTAGTCCTATAGTAGACATGTACTTAACTTTTTTGGAAACTTCTAAGCCTGAAAGAGGTTTACAGTAGAACCTATCAGTACTTGACATAATTGGATTTCAATGTGAAATGTTGAGAAAAATTTGCATCGGAGCTTGAATCAAACATCAGAATCTGACCTGACGCACGTGATTTTTGTAAACAAAAGCAGTTCATGTTTTGGTCACTCAGCATTAGTTGGCGTTGTTAATATGCATCGTTTAAACCTTTTGCGACTGTGTTCCAAGCGCTCTGCTATCATTTTCTTAGTTTTTGTGGCTTTTTGTACTCTTTTTAGATAAAAAACATGGGTCCTAAGAAAGGGTTTTGAAAAGAGTCATCATGATAAGGAACTGGTTAACTGTGTTATTAATGTTGTTGGTGATAACTTAGTAAACCCTTTTAGAAAACAGTTAAGGAAACACCAACAGTAGAGCACCTGAGACAGATTTTTTTTCCCCCCCGAGAAAGTCAGCCAGGTCCTAGTGAAAAAAGGCAAAGACGGGAAAAAACTCCTGAAAAGCAGCTACCAGTTGATTTTATGGAAGGGGATTCCCTTCCAAACAGTGACTCTCTCTCTCTCCATCCCTCCTCTCCACATCCGTGTCCACAGATGCAGATCCTCATCCATCACAAGGTATGGGCCACACTGTAGTTGTTAAAAACTTTTTTAATGTTCTGTTTCTTATTTAAATTATATTATTGAACTCTGAACTTATTTGCTTTGGAATTTCTGTGTATTGTTTTATATAAAAAGGCAAGGTTAGGGTAACAACTTGGTTGAGAATGGATTAATCCATTTTCTGTTATTTTTTTATGGGAAGCATTGATTCAGAACTCGACTGCATCGCATCTCAATGCTCCTTCTACAACGGATTAATGTCGAGCTCCGAGGTTCTACTGTACTTGTGTTTTATTGACTCTGCAAAAGCATTCTATAAGTGTTACTGCCAAGAAAACCCTAGGGCGCATTCCTACTCTTAAAACACATGGGGTTGTCATAAATTAGAATCAGCTCATTGGCAACACATTTAGTTTAACTTATATGTACACACACACACAGACACACAGCATACGAAAACTCATCATTTTTGTCTGATCTAGTAAGAGTAAGTTAGAGATGTCTTCCCCCTTTATTCCCAAATACTTTAAGCTAAATTTCCTAAACATCAAGGACATTCTCCTATTAAACCCACCAAAACCAAACCCACTGTAGTTAAATTGACAGGTTACTCAGAAGAAAGACCCTGTGGACAGAGTAGAGTTTCTTTTCAGGGTTTCCAAGACTGTAAATCTTTACAGAAACAGGCTGCTGCTGCTTTCTCCCGTGTTGTGGGTTCAAACTGCCACCCTTTCAGGTAGCCACTGACAGCTTCTGACCACTTGTCTTATAAAGCCACCAGAGGAGTATCAAAAGAACACAAAAGGGAGGGGGGAATATTCCCATCATTGTTTTGAAGCCCCCTCACATTGATGTGTGCGACTCTCACTTCACCCCTCCCACAGCCTTGATTACTGCAACTGTAGAGGAAGTTTTGCTAGCTGGTTTGGGGGGTGATTTCTTCCACTTTACTTCTTTCTTCTTCTTTTTAATCGTTTTACTAGGGGCTTGTACAACTCATCACAATCCATACATACATCAATTGTGTAAAGCACATTTGTACAGTCATTGCCCGCATCATTCTCAAAACATTTCCTCTCCACTTAAGTCCCCGGCATTAGATCCTCATTTTCCCCCTCCCTCCCCGCTCCCTCCTCCCTCATGAGCCCTTGATAATTTATAAATTATTATTTTGTCATATCTTGCCTTATCCGACGTCTCCCTTCACCCACGTTTCTGTTGTCCGTCCCCCAGGGAGGAGGTCACATATAGAGCCTTGTCATCGGTTCCCTTCACTTTCATTCTTTCAAAATAGTTTAGCTCCTTTGTTTTTCCTTTTCAGTTTTAGAGTAATCTTATCTATACCTTAAAAAAAAAATTGGCCTGGCTTTTGGTATGCTTTCCCGTGACTCGGTCTGAGGAGAGCGGATAGCTGCTGCCATGGCGACACTTTTAGTTCTTAGTCTCTCCATTTATTTTGGTCTTTGATTTCTTTAATTAGTGTTGTTGACTTTTCAGCATGTAAGTCTTGAACCTGTCTAACCTTGTTAGATTAATATCTAAGGATTTATCTTTTTGAGTGATTGTACATGGTGTTATATTTTACATTTTTTGTATCCAAGTGTTCAGTGTTATTGTTTAGAGTTATATTTGAGTTTTGCATGTTAATCTTGAATTCCATTATCTTTTTGAACTCACTTATTTTAAGACTTGTATGTGCGGGTGGGTGCGTAGTAGGATCCTTAGAATTTTCTGTCTAGACAACCATGCCATACGCACATAATGACAATATGTCTCTTCTTGATTTGTATGCCGTCTTATGGTACTGCCCCCAACTTCCAGCACCGTGTTCAGTAAGGTTGGGGAGAGCAGGTATCCTTGTCTGCTTTTGAGCTTTTGGGGGCACAGCACTCAGTGTTTCACTGTTGGTTATGATGTGCTATAGGTTTTTTGGTAGATGGTTTTTATCAGGTTAAGAAAGCTGGCCTCTTAATTTTAGGTGGAGGGGGTGGAGGGGGGGTGGGAACTTAAATGATTTTCTTTCATCTACAGCCACTATTCTTATTTCCCTAAGAGCTTCTCTTATAAATGAGTGTCGAGTTTTGTCAAATGGTTTTTCTGTGTCAAATTGATAAAATCACCCATTTTTTCTATTTTTGCCTTTTAATATAGTGGGTTTTATTGGTTTGTTTTCCAATATTGAGCTAGCTTTGTATCTTCGGACTAAATCTTCCTTTTTATATATTGCTGAGTTCTATTTGCTTATAGTTTGTTAAGGGCTTGGCATCTGTGTCTATGAGAGATACCAGGCAGTACATTGTCTGCGGTTTTTCTGGTTTGGTGTCCAGGGGATACCAGTTTCAGAAAATGAGCTGAGTTGTGAGAACTTTTTTATTTTCTGAAAGAGATTGTACAGAGTTGGTGATGGCTTTTTAAACATTTAGTAGGTTTCTCTAATCAGACAATTTAAGTCTGGAGATTTCCTTTTTTGTTTCAAGGAGTTTTTAAGTTACAAACTTAGTTTCCTTAGTGAGTATAACCATCTTAG